CTACACCAGAAGCACCTGGGGGGTGTGGTGAAACCTGACACCCAGGGCTTCCTAGGCAATGGTCCAGGGGCCACACTCCAGAGAACACTGATGAAGTCAATGGACAAGGATTGCCCAGGGTGCTGTCCCTCCCGAGAGACTTCAGATCCTGATTCATTCCTCTCTTTACTTCACACTGGGCCTTATGAAAGCCCCCAGTGGGAATGAAGCCACTGTGCTGCTGGCCACTGTCCTCCCCCCCCCCAGGCAGCTGCAGGGGACACTACTGCCAATCCCATCCTGGTCCTGATGGGACTGTGAACAAGATGAGTTTGCAGAATGAATGGGTTGGGGTGACAAACAGACAACACGAGATGGAGAAAAGAGCACTCAGTGGTCTCCTGGTCCTGATCCTGAGGACTGTGTGGAGGATCGGGGATGAGACTGTGCCAAGAGAATGCTGTGACCTGCTTTTCCCCTCACTAACTTGTCCTGGTGACCTGGCCCAATACACTGATTTCCTGCTGAGAGTTCACGTCTCACCTCCAGACACCAAGCTGCCACCTTGCCAAGCTATCACCCCCCCCCCCGAAAGGAAGGCAGTGCACCCCAGATCCCTGCAGATCGGGACCTGAGGATTCCTGACCCAGAAAGGAGCTAATGGGATCACACTGCACGCTGTTTTACAAATAGCAGGAGTTCCTGCCATGATGTATTGTTCTGTGTGTGGGGAGTTAGCAGATGTTCCTAACAGACAGTGACTGTATGACTATTGAAACAGTCTCTGCCACTGGCCTGACCTGCCAGCTTTTTCTCCTTTAGCTCGGGAGGAACAATCTGCCAGTCTCCACACCCAAACTGGCCTTTCCTGGCTATGGGACAGGAGAAGGAGCATGCGAAAAGCCAAGTTCAGGTTCGACAAGGAAAGGGAGGTGCTGGGGGCTTTGTTCCCAGCACCCTGCAGCATATGTGTTTGCAAACACAATGATCCTCTGCATGCAAATACGTATATTTGATGGGAAAACATGACTTTCCTTCCCAGTCATAGAACTTTTAAAAACTCAGTTTTTTCTCACATGCAAAACTATACCTCAGTTCTCAAGTCCCTGGCTCGGTTTAAACTCTGTGAAGCCCTGTGAGTCAAACCTTCCAAAGCAGAGCCCAGGACCCACACAGCCTCCTCTTAGGAGGGGTCCACTGCACACCAATCAGCTCTAGGTGAGAATACTGGCCGGGACCTCAGGAGCACGGATTAAACACTCTTCCCCCTCTTTTGCCCCCCAAGGGATCCACTCATTTGTACCCTTGGATGAGACCATGTCAGCTGTCTTCACTTCCAGCACCCTTGGTGGTCCTGTCCTCACCTGTTTTCCAGAAGCGTCATGCAGACCACCTCTCTGACGCCAGGGTTGTTGGCCTTCTCCACAGAGCAGCCCTGCAAGTTCCAGGTGGCCAACCTAAACACGGGCCGCCCATCCCTCATCCCTCCGAAGGCTTCCACAGAAGGCCTCATGGAGATGATCTGTGTGGGCCCCCCTGGTGGCAGGTCCAAGTCCTCGCTCTGCAGGCTCAGAGAGGTGGGACTGGGATGAGGCTTGGCAATAAAGGTAAGACCTCCATTGGTGTGGGTAGATGGCGGCCTGGACCTCTCTGCGAACACCTGGTGTCTGATTCTGTCCAGGAAGGCTGCATTGATTCCTTCCATCCTCACCAGGTCCTCCACACTGCGAAAAGGACCATGTTCACGGCGGTAGTCCACGATGCTGACAGCCATCTTCTCCGTGAGGCCTCGGACACTCATGAGCTGAGCCAGGGTGGCTGTGTTGATATTGACTCGCGGCGTGAGGGGCACGGTGGTGGCCAGGTGATGAGGCTGCTGCTCAGCCAGCAGGTCCCGCCTCAGGGAACTGGGAGAATGCTGTGCGGAGTTACCCTTGCTGCTCACACAGATCTCAAACTTGACCTGTTCCAGTTTGGTGGCCCCTACGCCGCTGACCAGGGCTAGATCCTCCACCTTCTTGTAGCCACCGATATATTCTCGGTACTCCACGATGCTTCTGGCCACTGCACGTGTCACCCCAGGCAGGGTCATCAGTTCCTCCTCAGTGGCGGTGTTGATGTTTAGCCTCTCCTGATTCACCAGGATGTTGCTGAAGTTGCAAGCAGCACTGAATTTACGGTTATGTGACAGGTCTGAGGGGTCTCTGGGGATAGAGCGATGGCAGCCCAGGGTGCTCCCCATGGCCAATCAGCACAGAACAACTCTGGATAGAGAAGCCCGGGAGCCTTTATAAGCACAAAAGAATGGAAGGCTGCAGGATTTATGGGTCGAGGTAGTTGCTGCAGACAAACATCAAATCTTCCATGGTTAGTGTTCAAATTTTGCTGAGCCACCTAGAAATTGACATGGAAATTGACTGAAATTAATCAATCAGCCCTTAGCACTCCTGTAGTGCTGGAAGCTCATAACTAGTGGGGGACAGGTCAACTCCTGAAACGCAGACGCTGGGAGGTTGCCCCTTGTGGGTTTTCCTCAGATTATTTATCACACAAGCTCCAAAAAGCGAAGAGAGCTATCCCCACTAGCCTCTCTGCTCTGGCAGCGCTGGAGCCACCTCCTCACTTCGGACGCCCCCACCGGAGCTCCTGCAGACGGAGCAGAATACGAAGCCCCTACAGCGCGCAGGAGGGCACTGTAACTTGGGAACTCAGAGCTGACCGAGCGGGCGCTGACACTGAGCAGAGGCTCAGGGACCCACCCCCGGCCCTCCGATCCCGTCCCACCTCTCTGCCGCTTTGCTGGGGTCGGGCCCCGGTTCCCTGGGGCTCGCCGCGCGCGTCCCGGCTCCTTCTGCAGGGGAAACTCAGTGCCGTTTTCCCGGAGCAGACAGAGGCTGCTCAGGAGCGACAGGAGCAGCGGTGAAATCTGGCCCCCGAAGCTGACCAGCACTTGCGGTGTCGCCTCTGCGTTGATCCAGCCAAAGTCCGGCGCCCAACTCGGGCGCGAGACAAGGCGGAGCGCGTCCTGAGCCCCGCGCCGCGCACCCGCCGCTGCTCGCCGCGGGTGTCACAGCTAAAGTCGGGTCTCGCCGCCCGCCCGCGCCTCCGCCGGCACAGCCACGCCTCCTTCGCGCCAACTCCTCCTCCCGCCCTCCCGCGGCACGTAGGGGCGGGGCGCGAGCGCCAGGGGGCGGGTCCATTGGTAGGCCTGGTGGGGCGGAGTCGAGGGCGGGGCTTAGAGACTGGGCGGGCAGTAGGGATGGCCCACAGGGTTCCTTGTGAGCTTCTCTGCTTTTTCTGGAACCTAGGCTCCTACTGAGCTGTTTTTGTTGGGTGGAGCTGTTTAAGGCCGCCTGGGGCAATCTGGAGTCTTTCAGGTGAGGTAGGTTTGCCCAGCGAGTCCAGGGCTCCCGAAAGTCTCAGGCAGGGGATCAAACGGTATCTGCCTCAGTTCTCTTACCACTCTCAGGCCTTTTCTCTTCTTAGAGAGACCTCATTCATCCAGGAATGCCTGGGAACCATGTGTCTCCTGTGTGTTCACAGAGGTTGTACATATGCTGCCCTTTTGCAGATTTAGCTCTCTGAGAAAATAAGGGCATGTTTCTGTTAAGTATTAAATCTAATCACTAAAACGGAAGGATATGATACTGGGAAGTGCAGGCTGCTTTCCAAAACAGTGTTTGGATCACATTGTGAAATGATAATGTAGTTAAAGATTAAAGGGCCTGATGTGTTACAAATGGATACCTGAAGCAGGAGTATTTATTTGGTTAAACAAACTCGGCCATGTGGCCGTGATATGGTGCTATGATACGTTGGATACTTTGACCCAGGGCTGTTAGTGATCCCTAAAGAATAGATCTTAACCCAACCATCTGGCCAAGGCTTCTGATTTGAATGCCGGCAGTCGGCATTCAGACGTGAAATGCTAGGGATATTAGGACCCTCACTACTACAACTGAAGGACACCCCAGCAAGATGAGCTTCAACAAAAGGGGAGGGGAGTCCTGGTCCCTGGAGAATAGTTTTGGAGTCTACCTTGCCTCAGGCAGGCCTGCATCCTCACCAAGGATGGCACGGGCTGAGCTGACCCTCCCCAGTCTGCTGCCAACTTTCTCTCAGGCACGCTGATCTCACTTGACAAGAATGCCCAGAGAAAGGAATAAGAAGACAGGAAGGGAAAAAAGAAAGGAAGACCGCAGGCAGATAAACAGAAGTGTGCTGATAACACCTGAACAACTGCACACACCTCAAGATGACAGGGTCAGGCGACTGATGATCAGACCGGCGAAAACACAGAACAAATGAACCGTCCACACAGCGCCAGTGGGAGCTGAAGGGGCACAGCCACTTCGCAGACTAGCTTAAAAGTGTGCCTGGCGTACCTCGCAGCCATTCTACTTACAGGTCCTCACCAGAGAGAAAAGAAAGCACAAAGCCCCAAACCCTCTACAGGGGTGTTTGTAGGTTTGTTGTAGTCAAAGATTGACAACCTCGACTCCATCAGTTTGCGTTTGGTCTGAGTTTGTCCCCAAGTGGTTCAAGTGTTGGGAGCTCAGCCCTCAGGATGATGGTATTTGGAAGTGGTGGAATTTTAGATTTTAAGGCACTTCTTGGGAGGTCACTGAGGTGCCACCTGTTGAAGGGAGGAGTGGGATGTTTGAAGGTCCCGAGTCAGTCGTTGGAGGGCTTTATTACAGTAGATCAATGCTGGGTCTTGTTCTCACTGTGGCTTCCAGTCTCTTGATTACCCCCTTCTGCTCTTATGATGCCATGTGCCAGGAGGTCTTGCAGAGAGGGCAACCATGCCAGCACTCTGCCCTGATGACTCCAGGGCTGTGTGCCAAATAAAGCTCTTCTTCACAAGTACCTTGCTTCGGGTCTTTCATTTTAGCAACAGAAAACAAGTAGCAGAAACAAACAAACAAACACTTCTGGAATGTTGTTGAGCAATAAAGGCAAGCTATTTAACAAAAGCAACGACAGAAAAGAAACTCAAAATCCGTTCACAGCATGAAAGACTCTGAGGAAAGAGAGAACGTGCGGCGTGATTCACATACAGGCTAGAAAGTAGAAACTGCGCGTGTGCAGACAATGTGCCAGTGACTGTGTGGGGATGGAAGGAGGAAGGAACGGACTAAAAAGGGCACGGAGTACTTTCAAGGTGGGTGGTTGAAATATTGCTTGAGAGGCACTGGTTGTTTATGTCAAAAGCAGTAAAATGGTATGTTTTAAATATACAGCTTCAGGCAGCTAAATTGTATGTCAATGAACTTAGGCAAATCTTCAAAAGACAATAATTCTAAAGGAATATCTTTTTAACTTAAGGGATGAAAACGGGGGAGGGCAAGGAAGGCAGAACTGAAAGAAGGCTGGGACTTGAAAAGGGTGAGAGGGGACAAGTTAATAGGAAACCAGCCTGGGCGACAACCTAGAGCATATTGGACTTCCCAGAATCCGCACTAACGTGGAGAGGTTGGTTACGGGCTTATTATAGAAGGAACAAAAGTTTAAATGAACGTTCTTCATCCTCTAAAGATTAGAATTCTAGCTGACCATTGAGATACATGAAGACGGCAGAGGTTGTATCATCCCAGCCAAATGCCACACGGAGTGGCCTTTGCCCCTTATAACCCAGTTCTCATTTAAGGCCCAGTCAGAGAGGAGCAGGTCAGAGACCTTTCACTTATTAGTCAGTAGTTTCAAAGATAAAGAGTGACCAGGGAGAGGTGATGGAAGTTTGGTCAGTCTCCAGTTTCGATACCATGGTACAGGCTCTGGGAGACAGTAATGAGTCAAATTCTGGTTTCCTCTACTCCCAGAGCCCCTGGGCATCAGGGATGTAAACAAGAAGTTAGGAAGAGTACTGAATGTTAAAGAGGAGAAGAACGCAACATGACCATAAAATAATGATAGTATACTCTAAAGAACATTCCGGGGAAGTGAGGCTTAATGTAAAACTTGAAAGTAATGAGGAAATTGTTGAAATAGGAACAGCGGGGCTGCATCCCCAACACCCCGGCCGCTTGGCTAGCTCATGCCCGAAATAATAACACACAAACTGTATCCATTTAAGAACTGCTTGGCCCATGAACTCTAGCCCTTACAGGCTAATTCTCGCACCTGGACTAGCCCATTTCTAATCATCTGTGTAAGCACCCCAAGGTACGCTTACCGGGAAGATTCTAGCCTAAGTCCATCGTGGGTTGCAGCTGCCTGGGAGAGCAGAGCATGGCGGCTGTCTGGTCCCTCTGGAAGCAGCGCAGAGTCTGACCTCACTTCCTCTTCCGCCCAGCATCCTATTCTGTTTCTTCCTCCCACCTATGTTCTAACCTATCAGGGCCAGCCAAGCAGTTTCTTTATTGCTCAGCCAATGAAATCAACAGATTGATATGACACTCCCACATCAGGAAATGATGTCTCAACTCACAAACTCCCAGTCCCTTCAAAAGCAAAAGTAATCCCCACTTTTGGATGTCAATAACATCCAAGCAGGTTACTGACAGGAACCTTGGCACCAACCTTATGCTTTGGCCAAGATGGATGTTGTTCTGAACAGCAGTGTTATCAAAGCAACGACTCCTATTTGTGTGACCTCAACAGTAGTTCTGTCCCTGCGTGCTAAAGTGTTCCCTGTGTTTGATCTGATGAAAGTCCTGGCATTGTCAGGGCTCTGGAACGTTCTGTATCAGGCCTGCCCCACTGCAAGTCATTCCATGGGGTGGCAGAGAAGGACAACTGATAGATACCTGGACAGTGTCCACAGAAGTTCCTGGGGCCTTCACGCCCCTTTGTGGAATCTGCTGTGGACGCTCAGCTTAAACTCCACCTAACAACAAAGGCCCTGTACTGGCTGGCTTTGGGTGTCAACTTGACACAAGCTAGAGTCATCAGAGGAAGAAGCCTAAGCTGAGGAAAGACCGCCATGAGATCCAGCTGTAAAGCATTTTCTCAGTTAGTGATGAATGGGGGAGGGAGAGCAGCGCCCAGCCCATTGTGGGTGGTGCCATCCCTGGGCTGGTGGGTCTTTCTATAAGAAAGCAGACTAAGCAAGCCATAGGAAGTAGCCCCTTCTGTGGCCTCTCCATCAGCTCCTGCCTCTAGGATCCTGCCCTGTTTGAGTTCCTAGCCTGACTTCCTTTGATGATGTACAGCATGTGGAAGTATGAGCCAAAAAGACCCTTTACTCACCCCAACTTGCTTTTTGATCATGGTGCTTTATCGCAGCAATAGAAACCCTATCTTAAGACATGCCCCCACATCTCTGACTATCGGGTGCTCTGCCACATCCCGACCTGAGGAGGCTGTGCCTGCTGTCCAGGTAAGCCAGCCTCCCAGAGGCCTCCGCACCACATTCCTCTCGCCATATTGTGGCACCCAGCTGCTGGACTGGAGACATCTAGCTCGTCTGCAAGGAGAGGTCACGTGGGGGAGAATCAGAGCAGCACAGCCCACTCAGCTCCCAGGCCCAGCGCTGCGAGGCCTCTGGAACCTTCACCCAAACCAGCTGTAGCAGTTGGGCCCATAGGAGGAGCCCAGAAGAGACCCAAAGGCAGAGACACTATTCAGCAGTGCCCAGGCACCCATAGACTATGAGAGAGGTCAGAGGTCAGAAGTCAATGCACATCACAGTGACCCCTCACAGCAGGCTCATCACGCAGTCTGTGGCCTGGGCTTGTTTCCCAGCAGCTAGAGAGTAGCACAACTCCAAGGCAGCCCTGTTCGCACACAGTAACACCCATCCCCTTTCTCTCCAGGTAGTGGCTTCCTTCGGGGATGTTTCTGTTTGCTTTTCAGTTCAGCCACAAGATGATTTTCAAGCGCTCAGGGACTTCCCCTTGCAAAGTTGCAGGTGATGGTTGGTGACAGCCGCATCTGACAGAATAATGTGTCAACTCTGAGACGAGAACCACGGCTTTGCTCACCACTGTGTGTTTTGTGTTTTCTACAGGACAAAGACATGGAGCAGGGTAGAGAGAGGACATGAGGGGAAGTTGAGAAACAGAGGCAGTTCAGTCTCTGAAGTGCTCAGCCTCGCTCCTCTGTTCCTTGGCTCCTTACAGCTGAACATGAGGCAGTACTTCTGAGACCCATGGAGCAGCGAGGTGCCCTGTCGACTAGACCTGGCTATACTAGGCCCTGGCCATTTCTGCACTTGCCAGCTCCACTGTGTTCAGCAGTGTTCAGCCAGGTGAGTCAGGGGTGCCACAGTGTGGGCTTCCTGCACTCACCCCAGCTGTCAGCATCTAATCCACACTGTTGTTTGCACTGTCTTGAGCTGGGTTTTGTTTACATCTTTCTGCTCTATACAGATTACAGAGGGGGCGCTGCTTGGCCTTCCCACAGGCTTTTGTGCACAGGATGGCCTCACTGCTCTCAGCCTGAGGCTTCCCACCCCTGATTTTCATCCATATTCCTGCCTCCTTCATAGCTGACCAGGAATGTAACTCTTCTCATAGGAAGGGGACAAACCTCTTAGTGGCCCCCATGGTCCTGATTATGGCCAGAGAAAGAGCCTGGGGTCACCAGGAGTAGCATATCCATCTTGTTCCAGCCACCCAGAATGCAGGGAAAATATCCATCTTTAGGAAATAGGTCCATCTGTATTTCTATCAATGGTGTTGCTGTGTGGTTGTGAGGAAACCGTAATGCCTGCCTGGGGTCCATGATGGGTCAGCTCTGTATCTAAACGCAGTGGAGAACTAGCAGATGTTTAGATGTCTTGTTGGCCTTTTGCCCTGAGGTTTCGTTCAGGCTCTGGATTTCTGTGTTGCTTTGTTGTTGTTGTTTTTGTGTTGTGGTTTTAGTTGTGACACCTCTCAAGAAGAATTGAGGTGAGAATGGCAGACACACTGAAACTTGGCTTCTTGGGGTTTCCAAGGATGCAGTGTGCCTCCTTGCAAGCTGGGGAAGCAGCACAGATAATGGTGGAATTCGTGTCAGATGGGAGCTTCAAGGTGAGAACAGCCCTGTCCAACCTTGATCTCTTGGAGTTCAAGATGAGCGGGCAGCTCCTCTTCCTACTTGTAATGCAAGTCCTGCATCCTCTCCTCTGTATGAGCCATGGACTCCATTGATTCAGTTTTCCCAGTTTCTTTACTGTGACTATGTGGAGTGACTATACGTGACACTTTCCTTCTTCCTTCAGGTCATGACATCCATAGATCCCTCTCGCCTTCCTCCAAAAGCTGCTCCTGCTGGCTAAGGATGAGGCAGTTTTTAGGATGACCGAGCGCTCCCTGGGAAAAGAATACAGAAACGAGTGTAATTGCTCAATCTCATCTTCAGTTTTATGAGCACGACCAAACTACTTTCCAAAGTGACTGCGCTGTTTTATATTTGCACCAACAATAAGCGAGAGTTCCTGTTGTTTAATGGTGGCACCGAGGAATCGGAGTCTGGCTATTCTAATAAGTGTGCAGTGGCATTTTACTGTGGTTTTAATTAGTAGCTTGCTGCAAAGTGCGGCGTGGAGCCTTTGACTGTTGCCAGAATCTCTTCTCTGGTTGGCCTGTGAGCGATTTTTAAAATTCTGGTGCATAGGAAGCCAGGGGTCAGCCTCAATGCCATTCTTCAGAGCCATTCACCCTGCTTTGTTTCTAGCAGCACCTCTCACTGGAACCTGAGGCTCGCTGACTCGGTTAGGCGGTCTGGTCAGCAAGTCCCCAAGGGCTGCCTGGCCCCGCCTCTTCAGCTCTGGGGTACAGCCACAAGTCCTGGTGCTTTGCTAGTGGGTGCTGAGGGTGAAACTTGTGCAGCAGGCTCTGACTGAACAATCTCCCCCAGGCCCTTAAAAAAATGCTAATCAAGTTTTACATTTCCCTTTGCCAAGTTTGTAAGCTTTCTTTGTACATTTTACATAATAGTCCTTTGTCAGACTTGTCTTTTGCAAATAGATTTTTCCAGTCTGAGTCTTGCCTTCTCGTTCTCTTGGTAGCACTTTTTGGAGAGGTTTTTAATCTTAAACAATTCCATCTTATCATCCGTTTCTTTCAGAGACTATACCTTTAAAGTCCCCACCAATCCCCAAATCCTTTAGAGGTCTCCTTGGGTGTTATAATTTAGAGGTTCTATAGTTTTATATTAATGTCTTTGCTATATTTTTAATTTTGTGGTGAGACTAATGCAGGAAGATTGTGACTTAAAATACATAAAAAGATCTAGAGTCAAAAACCAATCTGCTGACTGTATTTATGTGAGTCTATGTCTGGGTTCTCTGAGATATTTATTGATACATTTGTTGGTGCTGGGAATTGAACCTTTCACCTCATGCAAGCAAGTGGTAGGCAAGTATCCTGCATTCTCTCCACACTGCCTTGGTTACTTTAAATTTTACCATCTCAGATTCAGGCAGTGACAGTTAAATGTGTGATTTTCCCTCAGTATTAAGTCGGTGACTATGTATTTTGTCTCCATATGAACACCTTAGAATCTGTTTTTATCATTGTTGTATTTTGGTTTGGGATGGTTAGGGGGTTTTGATTTGTTTGTTTTTAGCGTCTAAAGACAACATGCTAGGTTTTTGACTGCTATTGTATCAAATCTGTAGGTCAGGTTTGAAAGAACTTGATCATGTTAAATCTTCTTCACGGTGAACAGGGGATTCTTTCCATTTACTTACTCCTTTTAATTTATTTATTAAACATTTGCTTTCTAAGTGTGGGAGAGAGCATGCATGCCATGGCGCATGTGTGGAGGTCAGAGGTCAGCTTGTGAGAGTCGGTTCTCTCCTTCCACCACGTGGGTCCCGGGGACCAAACTCAGGTGTCAGGCTTGAAAGAAAGTGTCTTAACCTGCTGCGCCACAGTACGGCCCAGTGCGTTTAGATTTTTGTCAGCATTTTATTGTTGGGGATGCAGCCCTGCCTCTCCTATTTCAACAGATGGCTGCCCAACGTGAGGATAACTGAATCCACAAAAAGCCTGAGAAAGCTTGGGAAAGAATGGAGTGAAGCATGTTTTCTTGGTAGCAGAAATTTCTTGGTTCTACTCCGCTTGCTAGAGGCAAACATGCTCTCTCATCTAAGAGAGACTTCCTGACTCAGCTTCAGCTGCAAAACCCTGCAGCTCATTAAGAGGTCCTGCCACGAAACACTTAAATGGTGTTGACGAAAGGCTGAACACATGCTTTTCGGTTTTCAGCCGTAGCAGGAAAAAAGTTGTGCTGTTTAAAAATGTCGTCTTTCTGGGCCGTCCTGCCAGGGCAAACTCTGACTGAGGCAGGAGGGCCAACTACCGAGAGAGGACTTGACTGTTGTCTGTTGTAGCTTGCTGGCTGGCAGGGACCTTGAAACGCCATAGAATTGTGGCAGTAAACTTGGCTACAGCCAGTACCTCAGCCATGAGGCTGGAAAGCTTAGGAATGGACTGGATCTACCTAGCAAAGCCACGGCTTTAATCCTACTCATATTGCTCAGTAATTTAAAG